CAAATGTGACTTATATTCATCTTTTGTTATCAGTATATATTGAGTATTACAATTTTGACAGTTTTCTTTTCTTAAAATATGTATACATTTTTTTGGCACCCTCTGTGTGTGTGTGTGTGTGTGTGTGTGTGTGTATACATTGCCCCTTGAAAAAAATCTTTTTTAGTTTCCTATCACATTCTTAACAGATCTCATGTATGATAAATTTGGATTCCAAGTCTATGATCAAAATTGTTTCTGTGCCATAGGAATGGAACTGTTGCCCTTTTATATTGAAATATGCTAATCTAGGAGGTTAGCATATATTTGAATACAATTATGTAAACTTGAAAAAAAAAAAACTTTCCACAATAGGGTTTGTGACTGAAATATTGGTTCAGTTCCAGCCATATTTAATTATTTATTTGATTTCTTTCATTTTCATTCAAATTTGTCCATCATTAAAAAAAACAAAAACTTAATTCCCATGCCCTTAAAATTAGTACTTTGATTGATTTAGCATTCAGCAAATTAAAGAGAGTTTATTTTAACTTAGGGCTTGTGATTTCCTTAAGGTCAAATTGCCATTTTAGAGAAAGAATGTGGTATTTAAATTATTTAGTCAAACTGGAGGCCTTGAGACAAGTCAAAATCCACAGGCTTTCTGAAAATGAGATGTCCTATATTTCTCCCTCCTTCTAAATCAATCAGAAAGATAGAATCGTCAGCATAACAGTTAATGCAGGGCGTGTGGATTTTTAAAGCATAATTGGGATGAATGTTTTGAGGAAATAATTTGCCCAAATCGTGTTGTGGTTTAACGCACTACAATATTAGCGTTCTAAAGCATGCATTAAATTGTGCCTGTCAATTATGCTTGGCTGTGAATGAATCCAAGGGTTCCTTTTGTTACAAATTGCTATTTCCTAAAATGCTTTTGCAGAGAGGCAGTGAAACACTTTTAGATTTGGAATGTTCAAAGAGCCGTTCTTGCCAGTGGTTGATTTTGCGCCAGCTGAAATGTTTACAAGAACTCATAAGGACAAGCAAAATTGAGGATGGCCCCTTGCTCCTACTTTATTTTCCTCCCACAGAAGTGCTCCTTTGGTCCCTGAACAGGACTGCTTGTGCCGCAGTGAACTTACCTGATCCTGCGCTGTGATGGTGGCTTGGCCACAGAGCCTAAGATACTCATTTGAACTTTTGCATAAAATGTCTCTTGGTACTGCTAGTGCCCCACTCCCATTCTCGGCATGCAATATTAACTTAAAAACTACAACTATTTTTGCAGCTGTAGGCAAATCCCAGATTCCCCAGGTAGAGTCACATGAGAAGGTATTTAAAATAACAAAAAGAAGGGGGACTACGCAGAGTCTGTACCTACAGCTTGAAGCAGGTGGAGGGTTATGAAGTATTTCCAGGAAGTTGTGTGAATTTGCAGGTTACTTTTGCTGTAGTGAGTTATCAGACAAAGAGGGCTGTTTAATACTGTGGCAAGACTTCCCAGGTTAAGCCAATAGTTTTCCTATTTCTCTGGGTCTTTCAAGAAGGCTGAGGAATGGGACATTGGAAGATGACTCCATAAAAGTTGAAATACTTTGCTATGAGTCCATCGATGGCTGTGGTGGCGCAGGACCTCAAAATTCTGCAGGCCACTTTGGGGTTCTCCGTTATGCCGTTCACCTGCTTCTTTCTGTCCTCATGACCGCACCCTGCCTTTGTTTTGCCATGTGAACATAACTAGAGGGCCACTGGAGGTTTTACTAGTCGACCATGGAACTCTGACCATCAAGTAAACTACTTTTCGTTGTTGTTACCGCTGATTTTCAAAATGAAGGTGACCGCCAGCCAGTTCTGATCATGGGCGCATATTCGCTTTGGAGGTTCCCAGCAGCCAGTGTGATAATGGGGCCCTCTCTATGTAAATAAGCACGATGGTGTATGTCTCCACCAGCTTCAGAGGGCTTCAGAGGAGTTTTGATCGTGTCGTTGACTTTCAGACAGGCCTTTCTGAGATGAGGGAGAGGTCGCTGGATGGGAGAGGAGTCTCCCAAGGGGAAACTCAGAGGTAGATCATCTCAAAATGATGGTTGCAGCTGAGTTTCCATCTCTTCAGATGCAGGGGTTTCTAGTGAACAGTTCCAGGGAAATCTATTAGAAAGAAATCTGAGTTGAACACATTTGGAGGTTCATTTAGAAAAGACATCAACTTGGAGACTGCAGAGACTTAGTTAAGTTGATTAGTTCATACTGGCCTTGGAGGTGGGGGTGGGGGTGGGGAATCTTCGAACGGGTTGGCCCTGGACGGTCCCGGGTGCTTGGCCCATCTAAAGCCCTGGTAGGAGGGAGCACCTCCGTAGGCATTGGGGAGGGCACAGTGGCGAGCACATGATGAGGCTTAGTTTGTGGTTTAATTAGTCTTGGAAAGGGAAAAATTGGACTACCTTAGGCGTGTTCTAGAATTCGTTGTTAAATGTCTTTAGTTTTTTTCTAAGGTTCCTTGCCACAGCCTTTTTTTTTTTTTTTACTTTATTTTTGAATACCTAAAGACCCTAGTGTGTGTGTAGATCA